CTGAGCAACAAAAAAAAAAAACCCTTACCAAATATATTTGAAGTCAGCATGTACAAGATCACTGATGGAAGCTTTCCTCTACTCTAATGTCTAGTAATAAAAGAAATTACAGAGTCTTGCTAATATCATGCAAACATGCTGAACTGGGTTTAGTTTATTCTTTGTGGTGGTGCAAGCAAATGTATTATTTATGTATGAGGTATATGCGAACACTGCAATTATTTAACAAAATGAAACAGGAAATTTGGTATGACAGCTTAAATTCTTTTAGCTTGCACATTTAAAGCTTACTAAAACCCATGTTTGCATGTAACATGATCATACTCACAACCTAGGTAGATTTCATCAGATGATTCTTTGTGTGCAAACATGACGAAAAGAGGTCAGATCTTAAAATATTCAGTCTTTGAGCTGTTGCAGAAAAACATGCAAAGCCAGCGTTCACCAAGGTCTGTTCAGAAAAGAAAGCACTATTAATGTAAGCTGCTAATGAGATATATACATTATGCTTAAGTGGACTGGCTTACAACAGATTTCTGCATGCTTCATTCAGTCATGGTGATTATCTGTTAGCGCTATTCGCAAGAATTTAGATTTTTTTATCATTGTCGACAATTAAACGCTGCAAAATACTAATTATAGGAGCTGATGTTTGGATGATGTATTTCCACCTTTTGGAACACTACAATTGCTGGTCTTCAATTATGTATGTATCTTCTAGCACTTCTACTACTAATTTGTTAGAGCTGTTTCAGAATAATACCTCTCTAATTTGTAAAACAAAATATTACAGGTTAATGCTGCCAATTTCCTCATGTTCACGTTCATTTCCTGTCTTGACCTTTTGACCTACAAGAACTTCACTGGCCGAACAGTTAAGGTTAACTGCTGTATATAACTAATTTCTTGAATCGTGAAGGTCCTGCTGTACACTGCCAAGCTTCCAAACACCCGCTGTCATGCACAAACGCACAGTAACCTTTCTCTGTCACTGTGGTAACCTTTCTGGTAACCACAGTGACAGGCAAAATAGAGGTGGGAAGTAATGGAAGGAAGTTAGCCCTCTCGGTTGGAGAAGGCTGACCTGTGGAGTTGGGTTTGTTCAGGTGTGACATAAATGTAGGCGACCAAGGTAAGGAAACTGAAATAACAGAAACTCTTTTTGGCAGCTCGACTTCTCTTTACCAAACTCACACTTCCTATGAGATATTAACCAAGTTCACTGAGGGGGTACAGGTATTAATTCACTGGAAAAGCGCAACTTATTTCACTCTATATCTCAGCTGCCCCCCTTTTATCCATGAATACAGGTTTTCAAATGCCTACCAGAATATAACAGTAAATACCAAACAGTAGATACAACTGACTCCTGAGCTATTTGGAGGGTTGATCAAGAAATGAAATCACTGGGTTCTTCGTGCCATTGCTTGACAGAGAATTGGGGGGAATTACACTAGCTGGTGTAATTATATGAGTCACACATAACACAGACACACACACTCTAAGAGAGCAAGAATGTAAGATAGATAAATACAATAAGAGAAAAATAATATTATTGAAGCTGCACTTTCTTCTCACTTCTATTATGACTTATCCTTGAAATACAGCAGCAATACACTTGGCATGGCCTGCTGATGTGCACGCATTTTTTTGACACAAAACATGGATGACAAATGCACTTTGAAATCTAGAGAAAATTAAAGCAAGAAGGCCACCATACATCCTCAGGCTAAAGCAGTGATTGATTCGTGCCGACTGATTGATTGACTGGTTGAAACAAGCAGTGAGCTGGCATTTTCTGACATCCTTGAAGAAAATTAGTGCAGACAAAGCCTATTTTTCAAGCACCTTGAAGACACTACTGATTAAGTCAAATGCTGCCCCTAGTCGTGTATGCATACATAACCGGAGAGAATCTTCCATCACACAAATGCACAAGTTATCAAAGTTTTGATGACAGAGTGAGATTTTCTCAATGACTGCACAAGGAAAATGCACACGTCAAGCACTTTTGGGTAGTTTTTGTCAAGTGTCTGTTCAGGTGTGTGTGTGTGTGTGTGTGTGTGTGTGTGTGTGTGTGTGTGTGTGTGTGTGT